TGGGAATGATGAAAAGGAAAAAGTAATTCTAAAGAAATGTCTTGCAAAGAAACTTGAAATCAAAGATTTTGGTAGATTAAAATATTTTCTTGGAATTGAAGTAGCCCACTCCAGCAAAGGAATCTTCATTTCACAACAAAAATACATTAATGATCTTCTTAAAGAAACAAGTAAACTAGCTTGTGAACCGGAACCAACACTAGTAGAACCAAATCTCAAATTGGGGGAAGCTAAAGAAAATCCAAATGTAGATAAAGGAGCTTACTAGAGACTTATGAAAAAATTGATCTACCTTTCCTACACCAGACCAGATATAGCATTTACTGTAAGCATGGTCAGCCAGTTCATGCAAAATCCAAGGCAGACAGAATACTGCACTATCTTAAGAGAAACCTAGGTAAAGGGATTCTCTTCAGTAGAGACTATGGAATAACCCCATAAGCAAATACTGATGAAGATTATACAGGATCACCAGTACAATAGACATCTACCTCGGGATGCTGTACATTCCTTAGAGGAAATCTTGTTACATTGAGAAGCAAGAAACATAATGTGCTGGTAAGATCTAAAGCAGAAGCATAATACAGAGCTATAACCTCAGGAATATGTGAGCTACTGTGGATCAAGATAATTCTAGAAGACCTACGGATCAAGTGGGAATGACCCATGAAACTACACTATGACAACAAATAAACAATCAGCATAGCTCAAAATCTGGTTCAACATGATAGGACCAAGCACATAGAAGTGAACAGACATTTCATAAAGGAGAAATTAGACAATGATTTTATATGTATCGACCATATCTCATCAAAAGACCACCTTGAACATGTTCTTACCAAGGGATTCGATAACTCTACCTTTTTGGGACTGATTAACGAGCTAAGAATGATGGATCTGTATTCCCCAGCTTGAGGGGGAGTGTTAAATCCTAGACGTCCCTTGGCATTTTAATCCCAAAGCTATGATGGGAATCCATGGGAGGCTTGACTATTAAATCCTAGCCATCCCTTGACATTTTGATCCCACGGCTAAGATGGGAATCCGTGGGAGGCTCACATGGATCACGCTAATCTCCTTTCATATTTAGATGACTGATTTAGGCATGATTATATTAAAACAATTATGCATTATTATATATTGTTTGTTTCTTTATTAAGATACCCTATATAGATATATAAATAGGGATTTGTGCAACAAATTAAGTCTGTTCCCTCTCCAATTCTCTGAATTTAACATCTACATTTGTTATCGCTCACTTAATTTTCTAACTAATAAAGATAAATTTCTAATCCCAACAATAGACAAGTTATTGAACAAATTACATGGTGCAACCTTCTTTTCTAAACTTGACCTCCATTCCGGATATCATCAAGTTTGTATGCACCCAAAAGACATCCATAAAATAGCTTTCCACACACACGATGGTCATTTTGAATTCTTATTAATGCCTTTTGGCCTTACAAATGCATCATTTACTTTTCATGATTTAATGAATCAAGTCTTCCTTTCTTATCTTCGCAAATCTGTCAATTTTTTTTTATGATATTCTCACTTATCTTAGGTCTATTATTTAGAGTAATGGTGAAATAGATGGAGATATTAGTAGAATTCAAGTGATATGGTTGAAGTGAAGGAATGCATCGGGCTTGTTGTGTGATAGAAAAGTCCCCCTCAAATTTAAGTGAAAACACTATAAGATGGTGGTGAGCCTTGTAATGCTTTATGGCGCAGAATGCTAATCATTAAAAGGAAGCATAATATTAACTTAAGTGTTGCAGAGATGAGGTTGCTCAGGTGGATGAGTGGCTTTACTCTTAGAGAAAGGACACAAAACGAGCATACGTGAAAAGGTTGGAGTAGCTCCAGTTGAAAATAAGTTTAGAGAGAGTATCATTACATGGTTTGGTCACATAAAACGACAGCCTTTCGATGACCCGATTATGAGAGTAGGTGTAATAGATTTGGCTTATGTAAAGAAAGGTAGAGGTAGACCTAAAAAAACTTAGAAAATCTTAGAAATGACCTTTCTTTATTAGATTTAAATGAGAATTTATCTCTTAACATGACAATGGAGAAAAAGGATTCATATAGCCAACCCCATGTAGTGGGATAACCAATAGTTCTACCCTCTTTCTTCATGAAGATCATCTCCAAGTGGTTTTTCAATGCCTACATGATAATCATCTTTTTTTAAAAACTAAAAAAGTGTCAATTTTTTTTAAATTTCAATTGAATAACTTGGCCACATTGTCACCACTGGTAATGTTAAAGCTGATCCAAAGAAAATTAGAGCCATGCTTAATTGGCTCATGCTTAATTGGCTTATTCCATCTTCCTTAAAACATTTAAGATCTTTTTTGAGGTTAACCGGCTAATACCGTTGTTTTATTTCCAACCATGCCTCCATTGTTGCTCTATTAAACAATCCTCTTAAGCAAGATGCTTTCAAATGGGACACGACTATCTCCAATGCTTACAAAAGTTTAAAATTAGCCATAGCTTCTGCCCTTACCTTAGCTCTCCCAAATTTCAACAAACCTTTTGTATTAGAAATAAATGCCTTTAACACTACTACTATTGGTGTTGTTTTATTACAAAACAATCATATAATTGCTTTCTTTAGTAAGAAATTGGGCCTACGTTTATCTCAATCCTCCACTTACCTAAAAGAACTTTATGTCATTATTGAGGTCATTTGCAAATGGCAATAATATATCTTGGGCAGTAAATCTATCATTCGTGCTGACCATAAAAGCCTCCGAGAACTACATAATCAAATTTTACAAACCCCGATCAGCAGTACTACCTTCATAAGCTTTTAGGTTTCAACTTCATTATTGAATTAAGCCCGAGAAATCTAATACAGTCGCCAACTCCTTATCTCGTATACATGATGCCATGGAGTTTTCTACTTCCTCTCTTGCTCCATTATTTTCATTAATTACAAATTTATCTCTTTTCTTCAACAGTTAGAACAAGAATCTCTCTCGTCCCCAGAGATACTTTAAATTACATCACAATTGGCAAAAGGAGAACTCTCCACAATAGATTACCATATCAAGGTTAACCTCTTATATTATAAAAATCACATTTACATTAATAAAGATTTTTTCCTTAAAAATATTTTACTTATTAAATTTTATCCTACCCCTCTTGCAGGTTATAGTGGTCCATTTAAAACCATCGAACGCCTCACTACGATTTTTTACTAGCAAGGTTTACATAAAGATGTTGAATTTGTTCATCAGTGCCACATTTTCAAGAAATTAAATCCTCAAACATGGCGCCTAATGGTCTACTCTCTCCTTTTCCAATACCTTATCAAGTTTGGGAGGATTTGCCATGGATTTCATAATGGAACTACCAAATTCTAGAAGTTACACTACCATTTTGGTTGTTATTAATCGTCTTTCCAAATACGTCCATTTTGGTCCCTTGCCCACCACATATTCAGCCTCCCAAGTTGCTACTCTCTTTGTCAATATGGTTGTCCGTTTGCACAATTTCCCAAAATCCATTGTCTTAGATAAATAGAGTATTTTTAAAGTAAATTCTCATGTCATATTTTTACTCTAAGTGACACAACACTTCACTATAGAATTGTATATCATCCACAAATAGATGGTCAAACTGAGGTCCTAAATAAAGGTTTATAACAATATCTTCATGCCTACACTTCCAACTCACCCAAACTATGGTCTACCTTTCTATGTTGGGCCGAACTCTCTTATAATACTTCTTTTCACACTGCCATTAAGATGCTTGATATCAGGCCCCTTTATGGACGTTTAACTCCCTCAATACCTTCCTATGTTAACAGCACCTTAAACATTCACTCTAGATTCATAACTAACGAACCACCGTACTCTTTTACAAACACTCCGCACTAAAATGCAGCAAGCCCAACAAAGAATAAAATTAATGGTTGATTGCCATCGATGTGATTTACAATTGTCCGTAGGAGATCGGGTTTTGGTTAAATTACAACGTTTTCGTCAAAATTCTGTAGTTTGTTGTACCCACTCCAAACTGTCCACATGATATTTCAACCCCATTCATGTTCAATCCATTGTCAGTAAAGTGACATATCATTTTAACTCTTCCTCCAAACAATAAGATTCATCTCGTCTTTCATATCTCTATCCTCAAACCTTTTTTTGGCACACCTCCCACTACCATTACACCTCTTCCTCTTCTTATCCATAACAATCATGGACAAACTCTTAAACAGGTTCTTTTAAAATGGACACTTTCTAATCAGGAAGCATATGAGTATCCCATAGAAGACTGGCCCTTCAGGACTAATGATATGGTATTTCATGAACCGTTTACAAATTTTAAGAAATAAAGGCATACAAAAAAAATCAACCATAAAGATGGTTAATCCTCCAGCACATGGTGAAGATGAGCATTCCAAGTAACCAATGCTTGGTCAGTGATAGTTTCAAATGAGTAACCATATAAACTGAAGTATGGCTCTAGTTGATATGCCAACCATTCAATTTCTCAGAATTGAGAGAACCATCATATGTTGGGATATCGATTTTGGCCTTTACTCCTGGCATGTCAACGTGTGCCCCGGGAAGAGAGCTTCACATTTTCAGTCAAAAGAGGAAAATGACAGTAAAGAAGAAAAGTTGAACAAAAAGTATTATAATCACATTATGGCAAGGGAAGCAATTTTTTGGGATTTCAAGTTCAATTATCTTCATTAAAATGGGAATTAAAGAAGGGGGAGAGGGTGTTAACAGTAGATAAAAGGAACTTCATTAAAAATGCATGAAAACATTACTAAGAAGACAGAAGTTTCACATCAAACCATGCCTGAATATAATTCTTCATGAATGAGACAACAGAGTCATCATATATTGAAATACATAAATCAAATTAACTTGCCATGGATCTCTGGATCAACTAGGTGGAAAATTTCTGGAAATTAAAAAGGGGCACAGAGGACATGAATTTTTTTTTTTTTTCAAAATAACCAAGTAAATTACCAGCCCCGCTTTTACCACCCAGTAAGCATCTCTGCAGTCCAACTGAGAGCTCAGCAGATAACTCTTCACCACCTCTGCCCTAAGAAGATATATTGACCACAAATCAGTGAAGATACTGGAAACTTCTGTAACTATGCTCGTGAAAATATTTCTGAAAAAATATTAAGCATGAAGTCAAACTAGTATAAATAACTCTAATTGATAGAATGACTAATCAGTTCATCATGAAACAACCTAGTTGATGCTGTATAAAAAAAGTTTACTGTAAATGATGCGGTGTGTTAACTGTCATAGCCAGTTCCTCCCACTTCTTTCATTTTTCCAGTAATTCCTAAAAAATGGAAGAAGGGGTCATTATTAATGTTTAGAGAACAACAGTTGTACTTGTCCATGGCCATTATATCATGTTGTATGGATACTATAGTTGCGGAAGCAAGTTAGTGAGTGGGAAATGAACTTGCATAAAGGATAGATGAAATATATGTGGGAAGGCCTAAGAATCGCAAAGGAGGATGGAGGACAGCCAACAACAAGGGGATTTTGACGAAAACAATCAAGGGGCCATTCACATGGTCAGCAAACTTGTATATCTGATGGATGTCCTCAATTTTAAGAAATGAATAGGCAAAGCAGAGAGAAAATCTATGGAAATAATATCAAGTTGGCAAGCAATGAAATAAGGTGAAACTTGTAACAATCTGAAATGTCTGCATTAGACTTATGCATTAAACTATCTACTAACTACTAGATTGTGTAGCCAAATACTACAAACCTAGAATGCTAGAATAGGGTTTAAGACTTTTTTACTGTTCAACTGACAATTTTAAGAACCCTAAAAATTGAATTGCAAGACAAATGACTTGGGAAAAAGAAAAAGAAAACAAATGCCTCGATCTTCTAGCCAGACTGTCTGATCAAATTTTTCCAACCATCCCTCTTCCGATTTTCATTAACGATAAATGCTAATTAAGGCTCCATTTGGCATAATTTTCAACCGATTGTCCCTACTTAGACAGTAGAAGCAACTTTAAGATGTTTGAAAAAACAGCTACAAGAAGAAAAAAAATCCAATTGTACGAAAGATAAAAGAACTTCCTTCTTATAACAATAATTCAGGAACCTTCACAGAAGAGTACTTTAATGATATTAATTAATTAATCATTAAGAAAAATACATTATAGTATAATATTGGGAAACTCATAATAACATTCATTACATCCACAACCAACTCATATTAGTACTATGACAGATTTTTACCGAACAGTCATTCACAGTTCTTGACAGCACAGAACAACACCCGGCACAGCACAACACAAGACACAATGCCAAACATAGCCTATAACTCACTCATCCCTATGACAGTACCAGCCAAAAACTTCAAACACAATCTCAAAATGACATCTCCTATTATTAAATCAACTTAATCTCTGTTTCTAAGCCATACCTCCAACCTTTACCATTATTGTGTCAATTTTACATTCTGAAAGACCAACTTTGAATAAATTATAAGAGATCCCCCGTTTTAACAGGAATAATGTTGAAGATGTTAAAACTTTAAAGAGCTAACACAAGCTAAACTAATCCATTCATAATAAAAGAAGCCAACCAACCTCAAACACTGGTGCTGCAGTTGGGCTGCAATCAATAAAAATAGAAACTTTTCCTTTGTCTGGTCGAAGAGGAGCAGGCTTCCCAAGTTCAGCCTGCATGAAAAACATTGCCAACACACATAGAATCCACTCAACGACAAAAATAACGATACAAAGTTGCATCCACATACACAAAAGTTTTCAGGAGTTATAAACATAGGTAATCAAATCCCAATTTGAAGCAATTGAAAGCATAATAAATAAAAACAAGAAAAATCAAGGACGAGGCCATTCCATGGAGAAGCCTCAATTTAAAATAAGGGGCCAGACAGATAACTGTAGAATAAAAGCTAAGTGTCAACTAATATTTTGAGGGTGAAAAAGAGAACAATTCCCTTTGAAGTTTTGTTAAAAAGGCTCTTTTGCTCCTATGCTATTGAATGAAACAACGGAATGATTGCAAAGTACAGTTCATCCAAAGATACTTCTTTCAAACAAACTTTTTTTAGCCAAAGCACTAGTTCTAGCACCAGTAACATCATTACCTTGATGCTAGCTATGACATCAGTTGCACCCATCGTAGCCCGAGCAGAGCCATTAGCCTATCATAAAACCAACAAAAGAAATTAAATGGATAGAAAAATCAACTGAAATTTTATGAAAAGGAGAACAAACATCACCATTAATTATTGAGAAAATGCCAAAAACAAATTAGGAGCATAAACATCATTAAAACCTGAGGAATAACTCCAGTTTGAACAGAGATAGGCCTGAACTGCAGTCGTTGTCTGCCATCTGATCGAAGATCTTGTGCAATCCCACCATATATAAACTGCCTCTCTCCTGCTGATAGCCCCACCATTCTTTTCAACGATTAATACAAAGATGGGTGAAACACCTATATACAAGATAAATGATAGGACTAGTAAGAAATAAGTATAATGATTGGATCAAAACCCACATTAAGACTCAGCTTGTCTCCGCATAAGTGCTTGGAAGTGTTTGGTGCTGAGTTCCTAAATTGAGCTTCATTAAAGTGAGTTTTAATGGTGGTTGTTTGCTTTGCATAAACCCCGTTCTAATGGGCTGAGGCCCAATGTTTGCTTGGGTACAATAAGTTTTATTTAATCAATCAGCTCATTGATTTTATATTATTTTATTATTAACAATAAAACATCATTTTAACACATTCTCTTTTTAATGACATATTATTTTATTGTTATTTTAAGAATAAACGAAATAGAAGTGACTTCCATAAGATCATAAATGCAACTCTATTCACTCCTGATGAGTTCAAAAAATATAAACTCCCTTTCATCCACTTTCAAGTTTCCAAATATTTGAACTCAACTTTGAAATTCATTCTAATAGCTTCCAAACCTTCAAAAAAAGGCCTAATAGCTCAAAATATTTAAGGCATATTCATTTCTATGTCAAAAGTATAATTAGCATGTTATGTTATCAGATCAATGTTAACCTGCACAACTATTATTCCATAATCGAATGTAATATTAACGACAAAAAAAGTCATAGTATCGTACAAATCTAGTTCAAGACACCTTGACCGCAATCAAACTACTTAAGCATAATTAGTTTCACAAAAATAGACTCCACCAACAAATCCAAAATGACAAAATTACATATAAATGAAGCTTATATTGCTCGGATTGCAACATAAGAGATTCATATATTTTACCTGAGCGCGAGCCAACAACACAAAATTGACTCAAGCAAGTGATGAGGATTTGCGTGAAGGGATCAATACACTCAAATAACTTAATTCAAATTATATAAAAATTAAATATTAAAAAAATTTAAAGTTATCCCACCACATAGGATAATCCTGGCAAAATTATGCACATGTGTAGTATCTTGTAGCCTCCTCCCATGCCTCTTAGCCATATCGTGTTGTATATCAAGTCCCATTCAACCATTATTAAAAAAAAATCATAATATAAAAATGATAACTACTTAACTAGACACTATCCCGACTTCCTCTCAGTCTCTCTCGCACATTACAACCCATTTATAGGCACCTCTCGTTCTCTTACTAGTTCATCCCTCGTCACTTCACTCCTCCCTCGCTCACACCAAATTGCTCACCTGCCTCTTCTCACTTGCAAATCCTCTCACCAACAACTCTAGTACAACCCCTAACCCACTCTCTCTCAACTTTTTTTGCCCTATAGTTGCTCACAATTCACCCATCTCTAGCTTATTTTTGCTAGCTCGTGTCGTCTCTCAATCTCTAGCAGGGTAATGATCATCGTTAGATCTTTACTATGTCATAAATCTCGTGATTGCAATATGATGTATCAAAGTTATAGTATGTAGTGTTATATTTGATGTGATTGCCCTCTGCAATTTCAACCTAATACTCTATTATGTTATGCTATTGCGATTGCAATTTGACATATCAATGTTATAATATATTGTATTATTACTATTGTCATTGAACTCTATTATAACAAAGTTATATTATGTTACGTTATAGCTATTATGATTGCAATCCAATATATCAAATTTATATTCTTTTATATTATATTTGTGGCCTTGTTTGAACTAATTTCAAACCTTAGTTGGCCATATTCAAACCATATTTAAAAAAAAAAATTAATAGATTTGAATCTTAGTCAAAATTTGCTTGAATCTTGTTCAAAATTTCATTCAAACTTTATTCTAAACTTATTCAAAAGTTATTTAAAATTTAGTTAGAACTTTATTTGATCCTTGTTCAAACAAACTTTGTTCTTAGTGGACTTCAATGAGCAATCCTCGAATACAAGAGGGTATTTTTTTCCATGAACTTCCAAACTTATTTCTCTAATTAAAGAAATAATAGAGGTATTTGGCCAATTATGACTAGTTATATACTGTAAAATTTCCCATCATAAAGCGGTTCATTTATGTTGTTGAGAAATCTTTATATCTCTATCATTTCTAAATCATTTAATATGCATATAATAAGTTAGAACCAAGAAGTTTGCAATTATTTTTAGTTTTCTAAGATCAGGCAATGTTAATACTTTGTTCAAAGACAAGCTTTTTATTTTATTATTGAAAGAGGGAAAACGATAAATAAGTTTAAGGTTGTGGAGAATTTTGAGCTTATTTTATTTTGTCACTTGAATTGAGAAAATGAATTTGATGAGACAATTTGTGTTATGGAAGCATTAAATAATTTTAAGGTGTGTGCCATGATGAAATTATTTATTTTAAGCATGAAAATCATTTTGTGTAAGCTCTAAACTGAACTTAACAATCAATTTGCAAAATGACTCTTGACACGTAATTTAGCGTTCAGCGATGCAATATGACCTAGGAAATGTACCGGCGAAGGTGATTCTAGGATTGGGTTTGAAGTGTTTACCTCCTAGGAAGAGCCCAAAGTGCAAAGCGGCTTCAATGGAAGACCAGGATGACAGCACGAGAGTAACTCCACGTGTATGCTCCTGATCAAACTAACCAATGTGGAAGAGCACACTACCCGGAGCCGCCAAGCACAGGGCTAGGGAGATCAACCTAACGTGGAGGAGGAAATGATCATCACCCCGCTAGCAAAGGCAAATGTCGAAATGGGCAGTGGAGGACTGTCGATCTGTCAAACTTCAGCAAAGATCTGGCGAATCCGGCGGAACAGCTAGTACGCGGCAGCAAGGTCACGTACCGACGAGAGGCGCGATGGAGAGGTTGCGCAGCGAGGCGAGGCGCAGCCCGGTAGTGGTGATGAGTGGCGCTGCACGTAGAAGCTAAAGCGCAGAGGTTGGTGAAGGCGGGCAACCGAGCTCGGCTATGAGGAGGCGCAAGCGGCAGGGCTCGGGCGCTGCACTGCTTGGAGTTCTGGCTGCGAACATAGAAAGAAAGCACAAATACGGTCCACGTTCCTCCGGCACGTTTATTTGGTCCGGTTACGTTGGTCACCACTCATATAGAGTCACCTAGCCGGCACTAAACCGCCGACCTGACCGAAGAATAGTGGGTTTGTCACTGGTGCCTATTTTAAATCCATGATGATCGGATAAGCAGCCCATCATGGTATTGTAATATTTTAAATATATATTCCTACCCGGTAGATTTTCATTTGGCTTTACTAGATTCAAAGACGAAGCGACTTCTGCAACAATTCCTTTCCTTCGTAGTTCGCAAGCATTTGCCGTTAGTTTGAAGCAAATTTCCGATCGAATACCTCTACAGAGACAATGCCTCATGTTAGAAATTTCTTCCGAGGTACATTCATTCTTGTTATATAGTTTATCTGGTTAAAAAAATTTAAAAAAAAAAAATCGTTGTTTTAGGGTTAGGGTTTACTTATTAATGTTCTTTTTAGTATAAAAATTTGAATATATATTGTGAGAACGATTCAAATCAATCAGAGTTTCGTGTTTTGTAGTTTATAGTAATGCTCGGTACTAATCGGTATTCAGTATTCGATGCTGCTCGGTACTGCTCGATACAGCGCAGTATTCAGAGTTAATACTCGGTATTTACAGTAAATATCTTAATATTTTATATGTAATATTTTGTTCGTTGTTGCTCGATACTGCTCTGTAGTGTTCGGTGCTGATCGGTGCTTCTCGATACTGCTCGGTACTGCTCAGAATACCATACTTTGGAAGGAGCCTTCTTGTATATATGTCATTGGCACAACCTATGACGTGTATTAGGTAATACAATCTCTATCGTCATAGCCATTGCTTGATCCTGATCAGTGAATATAGTAACTAGATGTTTGTTATCCATAATTCTTAAAAATATTCGAAATAGTCAGGAAAAATAATCAATTGTTTCCTCGGATAGAGATGTCACCCCTAATATAATGTTTTGCCAATGGTTATTAACTCCAATAATAGGGGCACAGGCTAAATTATATTTGTTAAAACGATAGCTTGTATCAAAAAATTATGACATCCCTAAAGCAGACGTAATCAATTCTCTCAACCCATCCAAAAAAAAACCAACATGTCTTCTTCATCAATTTGCACATCCCATTCAAACATGTTGTCTGCAGCTACTCGGTCTTTAAACAATTTGATTAGCAAATTGGTGTCCCCGTTCTCAATTTTGGCTCTTTTCTACTTATAAATGTAGTTGTATGCGTACCTCTTTGTGAATCTCATATTTCCTAAATCTCTCACCTCATCGAATAGATAGGAAAATGCATTAACTGTTCTTATGCCAGCTTCAGACATTGATTTAAGAACGGAGGCATTTCCATTACTGATGTGCCTAGATGATCTCAGTAAATGTTGATCATCCGGTTTAGCCAATTCGTGATTGTAACTCTCTACCGATCTTTTCACCACCCATATTCCATCTTCACTGACCGCAAATCTTATCATAGTTGGACATCCAGTTCTTATAGTCGATCTTTAAAATTTGACCTTCTTTTTTTTGTCTCCTTCTTGAATCCGGCTTTGGAACAGACAAAATCCTTTGATTTTATTTTCCTTGAATTTGACCAGAATGAATGATGTTCTTTCCGAACACTAAAACCATGAGAATGCGCATTTGGCAATAATTATCATATGCTTCCTTTTTAGAGTTGTAAACCCCATGTGAAAAAATAATTCAAAGTTTTATATATTATTGGACCAAGCTATTAATTCCGAGCAATACCGCAATAACTGTATACCGAGCAATACCGAGTTTTGTTGAAACTTATTTCTTGGTACACCTATGAAACTTATCTATAAGCTCGGTACAAGGTAGACATAATCGACGTAAACAAACATAAAAAAGGAGCATACCGAGCAATACCTATAAATACCGAGCATTACCAATTTATACCGAGTTATGTAGGCTCGGTACACTGAACCTATAAAAACATATGGTACTTATCTATAAGCTCGGTACAAGAAACCTATAAATACCGATCAGTACCTATTTATACCGAGTAATGTAGGCTTTGTAAAATGAACCTATAAATACCGAGCAGTACCGATTTATACCGACTTATATAAAACCTTTTTTATCTTGGTACACATATGGTACTTATCTATAAGCTCGGTACAAGGAACCTATAAATACCGATCAATACCTATTTATATCGAGTTATGTAGGCTTGGTACAATGAACCTATAAATACCGACCAGTACCGATTTATACCGACTTATATATAAACTTTTTTTATCTCGGTACACATATGGTACTTATCTATAAGCTCGATACAAGGAACCTATAAATACCGAGTAATGCCGATTTATACCGACTTATATATAAACTTTTTTTTATCTCGGTACACATATGATACTTATCAATAAGCTCGGTACAAGGAAATTATAAATACCGAGCAGTACCGATTTATACAGACTTATGTAGAAATTTTTTATCTCGGTACACATATGGTGCTTATCTATAAGCTCGGTACAAGATAGACATTATCGACGTTTAAAAAAAAAACACATACCGAGCAATACATATAAGTACCAAACAGTACCATATGTGTATCAATCAATACTCCAATCATTCTCTCTCGGTACGAATATGGTACTCATGGATAAACAAAAAGAAATAATCATATGTAGCTTGATTTTAAAAATTTATATTGTAAAACATCTGCATAGATAAAAAATTACTTGTATGAAATCAAAAAAATCTTCATCAACATTATAAGTGCCAAATGTTTCATCGAAATCGTCTGAGTCTTCCAAAGAAACAATCATTGTCTTATCTTCCATCTCCTTGAACCCTACGTGAAAACTTTCTCTTCGTGATGTAAACCCTAAATAATGTATAACGTCTTCAGATCATAATTGGCCAAACATTTAAAGAAGGGGCGGATTTTTAACTTTTCCCGCCCGTTTAAGTTAAATTACGTCGGGGCGGCTCGAAATGGTGTAAAACACGTGACCAATCAACAAATCATGATGGGTTTGGGTCGGGTTTCCGGGCTGATACGTGGCGCTATAACAGTGGATGCCGAACGTAGCTCTACGTTTGGTGACCTGACCTAATAAAAGTTCCGGCTGGAGAGGATCGAGCCTTAGAGAAATTATTAGGTGCAGACACAAAAGGTAAATCTAGATTATGTGGAGTGGAGATTTGATATTTAATTGGATTTATTTTTTATTTTATATATTTAATATGTCTATGAAATTTTAAATCAAAATTGTAATCAAAACGTAGATAAAATATATGTAAAATACATATAAAGCATAGTCAGAATATAATAAAATTAAAGTGTAACTAAAGTGCATATAAAATTTAAGTAAAGTACAAATAAAATGCACAAAAAATATAATTATAATACACCCAACGTGTTAAATTTTAAATAGATGTCAGTAAGTATCTAAACTTCCCGATGCTTAGGCCTTCGATCATGTTCCATTAATTTAACTCAAAAGTCAGAAATACAAATATAAATTTAAATATATTTTTAAATAATTTAATTACTTGCTCAAATTTCAACATGCAATCTTTCTTTCGCCCGTAAGATTTGAACCCTAAGGGGGTGTTTGGTATATGATTGGATTCAATTTTAGCATGATTTACTAAATCAAAATTTTGAAAAGTGTTTGGTATGAAAAATTTTAAATCCTGTTAAATCTCTGAAGCTGTTTGGCAATAGATTGTGCTGCGGGAAGAAATTCTGAGCGTTAAATCCGAATAGAAATGAGATTAGGATTTAGATGAATTTATCGAATTTATGATGTAAATCTATAAATCTTGAATTTAAGAATTTGCGGGATTTACCATAAATCCTGCTAAAAACGAGTAAACGACCGATAAATCCTATACAAAACACTCCCTAAAAACCCAAAACACAGCGGGTCGGGTCGGCGACTTTTCTTCATGCTACGTGGGGTTATAACATTGGTGGCCGAACGTAGAAGAGCGTACGTTCACCGGACTAAATAATTGTTCCTAATGTCGATTGTATCTCTCTTCATCCTATTTAGACAAATTCCTTTATCTACATCTCACGATTTATAAGCCTGTCGCTGAAGAAAGAGGTTTCGCCGTTTCGGAGCCTCTTTCTAAACCCTAAACCAAATATTCACGTACTCGCTGTTTAGGCATTATCCATACGGCTTTTCGAGGCAAATATTCTCGAAAGCCCCGGGCCACCTGACCCAGATCGGAGCTTCAGAACATGTCTTCATCGGGACAACCACAGTTTCGTTACACGCAGACGCCTTCCAAGGTGTTGCATCTCCGGAACCTTCCTTGGGAGTGCACGGAGGAGGAGCTTGTCGAGCTCTGCAAGCCGTTTGGGAAGATCGTCAACACCAAATCCAACGTTGGCGCTAACCGCAACCAGGCCTTTGTTGAGTTTGTGAGTGTCCATCTTCTTTTTCTATTCTCTTTCGGTTATCAAATGAGTTGTTGCTGTTGCTTTCATTAACTGGATTTTGCCGGGGCTTTCAATATTCAGCCCTCCTAGATCCTTCAAAAAATATGTGTTTGTTGCTTTCCATTTAAGATTATTGTGACCTCGTCACAATAATCTTTGTGCTTTAGGTTTTTTTTTTTTTTTTTTATAATCCTTGCTTGTTTTTTGGGCGAGAAGGTTTGCATGCGACCAATAGTTATTTGAATAATGTCAATGCTCGGAATGCATTGGAATAGGTGTAGATGTAGTTATGGAAAGCCAAAGCAAGATCTATGGTGAAATTGCCAATGTTCCGTGGCCATGAAGATGTGAAGTATTTGTACGAAAACAAGGGGAAAAAAGGCATTTGAGTTGCCTAATATTTGATGTATTTTACGTTGATTGAAATATATGCTGATTCAGCATGTAAGAAGCCAGCAAGTAGTGTTGTTATCCTTGAGACCAACACACAATTTTGATTTTTCGGTGGAATTGACGTGTTGAATAGCCAGTATTTTTCTATGATGAGCAAACATTGAAGCTTGGCTCCTGGGAATCGATGCTGTTATTTTATTTAGGATCATAGAAAATTCATTTGCCATGTCTGTGGTCATCATGCTATTGCATTAAATATTTTCACTTCACTAGTAGACCATTAACTCCATACAATTTTTTTTTGTTGATGCCTTTGTCTTGAAGGGGTTCAAAATTATTTTCTTTTACTTTTTGTGAAACTGGATGCATGCCATGAGGACCCCCACCAAAAAAAAAAAAAAGACACATGCCACCGCTACCATACAACCCAAATCTCTCGAATAAAGGAACTCATTATTTCAACCTTACTCTAATCTAATTTCATTTACCCCTACTTGGACCCTGATCATGACTTTCCATAATTGTGATTTTATTGAAATTTTATGTATAACAATGACCCCCACAGAGTCAACCATGTGGATTGAGGTAAAGAGATGATACTGCTGAGCTGAATGTACTTGAGGAATAGAGGGAGAAATCTTGACCTTATTTAGAGATCGTGCTCTTCATACAATGGAATTGGTGTGCTAAATTGTTTGAGATTTAATTATGGTTGAAGTTCAGTGAGAGGATCATTATTCAAGGAGATGATTGTCATTTTGCAGAAGTGGGAACAACATTTTCCAAATGTACGTATTTGATGGAAATAAAAGGGACTGGAAGAGAACAAAAATAACTTTCAAATTAAATTGTTTCAAATGCTTTTATCACAGGTGGTCCTACTAGAAATCTTTATTATCTATCATTGGGGATTTTGAATGTGCTTTTTGTTTCCATGGTTTAGCAAAGTTCAGGTCTTTGATTTTTTTACAGAAAAAATTATCATAATTGAAATAAATTGTTCTCCTTTTCACTTTTATGTGAAGAAATAGCTTTATGCGATTGCATTCTGTGGGGTTTGATGTGATTGACATTCTAATATAATGAATTAGAAACTTGAGATTATTTCCATTCTTTTGTATATCATAAGCCATTCTTTTTCTGAAACCTTGTGCTTGATTTAAGAGGAAATATCATGATCTCCCTTTTGAAGCCCGTTAGAAATTTATAGAGTTTTTTCGCATGGAGTTTCTCAGCAAGACAAATTTCAGGACTTGCAAACCCATCCGATTTTCCCCCTTTTCCTTATGCTTCCTTACCTAGTTTCTCTTACATGGGGTACTTGTGGATTTGACAGAATCACAACCTGTGGGTGGTCCTATTGAAAGAAGGCTTCAATTTTAGGTGCTACTCACTACCTTAAATTTATGGGTGTGCTCACTTTCTCTTACTCTCCATTGCACTTCATATTTCTTCTTCATTCCATTGTACTATTTTTTTCCCCACGGTTGTTTGCTTCATTGTTATTTAAATGCAGTGCTGCATTATTATTTAGATTTCAGGTCATTCTATAGTTTGTACACCCGCATTATTGTTAAAAAAATTGTACCACTGCCTATAATGATCAATGGTAATTTAGGCATTATGTGGTTTTCTTAGTGATAAATTTGTTCTGATTTACTTCTAGGAAAGGTTCATATTTGAATTGCTGCAAATCTTAAGAGGGCAATCAAGAAACTTTTAGAGGAGAAATTATTTTTTGCATGCCTTATTCACTAGAGATACCCCATAGGGGAATCAATATAATATTCTATAGCATACCCAAACATACTCCACCCTCCAATATAATGATATTCTTATTTTGATATTTTCAGCATATCTATCAATTAGTTACGTGTTATATAATCAAGAAAATGATAGAGGACCTAAAGATTTTGTAAAAGAATCAACTACTTGTTATGATTTTGCGCATGAGGATTGACAATCTTCATTGAAAACTGAATGAAATAACAATCAACCTTAACTTGTTTGGTCCTTCATGAATGTACAATGGCTGACAATGTTGCTGACAACATGATTGTCACAGTACGCAACTATTGGACGTGTAACTGAAAAATCAAACTCTAAAAAAGATTCTTTATCCACATCATCTCAAATGCATCATTTAGCCTGAACATTAGATCTAGCCACAAGGCCCACATGTATTTCTTAATTTTCCAGATGACCGTATTACATTTAAAAAAAAGATATGATATCTAGAGGTTAACTTCTTGTCTTCAACTGAACAAGCATAATCAACATCTGAGAACTCTTCCACATTTTTCAAGTGTTTAATCTTATTATATAATAACTCTTGTCTAGGACACTTATTATACTTGAGAATGTACATAACATTCTTCCAATGTTTCTGTTTTGAAGTTTACATGCTTTAACTAACTCAAATGAGAAATGAAATGCCAGGCTCAAATAATTATTTCCCTGACTAGTTTTGATACCTGGATCATGAAGGGTCTCATTCTTATCATAAGTGCTCTAAGACTCAATGTTGGCATCAACATATTCGTATCTAAAAAGGCTAGCCTATTTAAGAAGATCAATAACATATATATTCTGAGAGTTATATACCCCTTTTTTGATGTAGGTAAGTTAAACTCCAGGAAAGCTTTTTTACTATCATTGATATTTTGTTACTAAACATTTTTAACAAAGTGTTTTACCTAAGAGGAACCTTTTTGATCATTCCAGTATGTAATTAGCATAAAAAACTAATACGAGAAAGCTTGATTGTGTGCCTGATGACAATGAAATGATCTATAGTATTACTGCAAAGTCTGATCTTGACAAGAACTTTGTAGAGCTCTTCAAACCAAGTTTGTGGGCTGTGTTTAAAACCATGGATGACCTTTTTGACTATACATATGCAATTCTACTCTTGAGTAATATACCTAGAAGATTGCTCTCTATATATGGCCTTACTAATGTTGACATAGAGGAAAACATTATTGACATTCCAGTTGTAGCATAGATTATCCTTAATTGATGACCACAAGTAAGGGGATCTGGATGGAGTTTAGTCTGACAATTGGGTGGTGTTAGAATAGCCTATACCATAAATTTGTGTGAACTATTGGCTACTAATCAAAATTTATATCCATTGATTTGGCTAACATGATGAAATTTGACCATGCTCCCATCAACAAGCAATCAGTTTAATTTCCATAGGGATAACAATCAAATCACATGTATGGGGACTAAGTAGATTACCCAATGGTAACTAAGTAGAGTACTCAATATTATAGCCTATTTTCATGGAGAATTCTCTAAGGAAGAAGATAAATGATTAAACAACATATAAAAATGAATGGAATGAGCATCACATTGCCTTTTAACTTTTCACGGGATAGTAATATAGATTAGAGATCTTTGGCAGGTGGATGCTTAGTCGAGTCTAAAAGTATGGATGGAGTGTTTTTTGTGGATGATGGTTAATTTTATCATGAATGAACCTTTAAAGGATGGTTGTATAGGATCTTCTATAACAACAACAACATCAAGCTTTTGTCCCACTACGTGGGGTCGCTGTATAGAATCTTCTAAAGAAAAATAAATATCTGGTGAGGGTATACCTAAAGAAAAGGAGGAATAAAAGAAATGTGTGGTCTCATGAAAATTATTATTGACCAAAGTATATTTTATTCCTTTTTTTTAGCGCAAGAGAATTTTATACTGAATAATTCGAGAAGAGAGTCAGTCATGCTAGTGAGAAACATGAACGAAGTATATACAAGCATGCATCTTAAATACAATTGGTAATACAATTTGTTCATAATAAAGGTTGGAGATGAGTGAAAGATTATGGAGAGGAGAGGTGAAAGAACTGTCAAAATAACAGGCTGTAAAGCAGATACATTTAGATATTTTTTCATTTTTTACTCACCTGATATTCATTAAAATTATGATATGTTGATATTTTGCCAACTTTCACCATGTAACTTTTATTATTTTTCTATTTGGTTGTTTGCACATAAGTTCATATGATTAGCTTTGGTTTCATTGGGCTTATTCTAGTCCCACATAATCATTGCCAAGGTTCTATAGTGTTTGATAAATATGCGATCTTAATTGGTGATCTTATTATATTGCATTAGTTGCATTCAACCTACACTATATATATGGTTTGCATGTTGTAGTTATCAAATGAATTTTACTTCAGACATGTTTCTACACATCATACAATATTATCTTTGTGATCCTACACATTTTGAAGGTGATGACCTTGGCATGATTTTTTACTTGAGGTATATTGACAGTATGTTAAGAAACATCCCTATCATCAATTTATCAAGCTAGCAGCAATGCGATGCACTAATGTATTCATTTTTGTTTTTGAATATTAAATATCCGACTTTATGCTTACATTCAATCATTGCATTAAAATAATTACTTGGTTTTAAACTGTATTTCAAGTACATATGCTTTGCTGTTAATGTTAAGCATTCATGCCCATTTTGGTACTTCATATGTTTATTAAAACTATCATGTCATAGATCTTCCTTACAAACTAACTTACAGACATGCACATCGCTCTCTTTTTTATGCCTCGAAGTCAGTTGTAGGTTTCATATAATTTGTTGAGCTTACTGCTCTCCTTTTGTATTTGCATTTGTTTTTTGTTTTAGTGTAAAGTTAAGGAGCCTAATGATAGTGTTTGTTTGTCAGGTTTTTAGTTAACAGCTATATACTTTAAAGATTGTACATAAAATCTTTTGTAATTATAGAATTTATTTATTTTGTTGTGGTACCTTGGATATATGCATGATTAGTGCAAATGATTCTTTAAATTCTTTTAATGTTTCAATACAATTATTTAAATACAATTTTGAGTTTATTTAATCGATGCTTACTATTCTTTGATAGATTATTAGTGATTGTTTGTAATCTATATGTCGTGGTTATGAGGTTTGAGTTATTTTGAATTGATGTTTGCATTTTTCTGAAAATGGTTTGCATCCCATCAATTAGACAATAGTCATAGAAGTATTTTATGAGGCTGTTATAGGGAGGAAAATAATGATATGGTATGGGGTGAAATTCAAGACTTTGAGGAGATTGTTCCCTAGTTAGTATTTTTGAGGATTAGTGTTACAAATTTGTTAGAGTGTTAGAGACAATCGAAAGTATCTACTTGTTTCATTGAAATAAAGTATTTTGTAGAGTTGGTGGAGAGAGCCAGAAATATGTTGAATGATTTATCTTTGGCACGTAGGACAGAAAAAATTCGGCCGAGAATCATCCTGAAGTGGTTTTAGTAGGAAGATTGAATTTGGACCTAGAGAGTCTGGGAAGGTTCCAATGAATTATGTTAGTATTGTGTTAACATGTAAATCGCATGGAAGAGGCATCCAAGGAAGCGTATTGAGTCACTTGGCAATGTTTTCGATGTGTCTATCATGGTTATAAGATATATAGTTGTTTATAAAAGGGAAGCATAAGAGATATCTTAGTCCAAAGCTAAAGGTTTTAGATAAAATTGTAGGTGGAAGACAACCCTAATCAGAGCGTGTGGCGAGGGTTCAACAAACATGTGAAGAAAAGATCGCACCAACAAAGCCTAGTGGAAGTCAGAGGGAGCTTGCTTCTTCGAGTTTCTCTTTAGTTTGATAAAACAAGTAGCAAAATATTCAATTGACTTGGTGTTTAACACAATTAAATTCTACCAAGTCTTATAGAATTCTTTTTGATTTTGATGCTAGGCATTCGTTTAGAGCTGAGCAGCATTGTGCTTTGTTGGATTGCATTGCATGCTAGTTTATATATTGTGTTTCCCATTAAAGATTTGTTTTTAGCTAGTTATGCATGTATGTGGAATTGAGATATTTGTAGGAGGTATTGTGTTATTGTGTTGGAGTTGATAGCATTTTGGGGGGGGGGGGATCTAGAGATAAAATCAAGTTGGAAACTTCAAAAATTAAATCGGAGACCATATGAACTCCGATTTCGGCAAACTTACAATCGAAAACTGAACGTCTCGAAAATGCGAACCCAATGGCACCAAATTCGACTCAATCTGAACCCAAATGACTCCAAATCAAAGACTCAAAGCATATTTAGAAGGTTTAAACCATAATTTGGATTACCAAATGGTTTCCCAGCATGACATGCTTATAGTCGAATTGAGCGGCTAGACGAGACGAATCCAACGAGCCCAAGATCGCCGAATTCTGATATCACTAAGACATTTAAATGTCCAATAAATGGTCCACGATTAAGAGATTTAAGATCGGCCATTCATTCAAATCACTCTCAATTTAATTTCCTATTCATTTACATTTTTTTCCTGGTTGATATTAGCTTAATCCTGTATTGATTCAATCTTGAAGAGATTTTATGGTTTGTTTTTGTGCAATGAGATTTTTAATATCATGTATTTA